AAAATTATCTATTTGCCCGCTGAAGTCTGTTAAGCTGAAACATGGGTTCCCACTGGCATCTCCAACCAACCCAGTGCCCCGGGGTTCATTCTGTCCCCCTCACCCCCCACCCCTGCATAAGCTCTATTTTTTTTTTACAGATTTAGTTATTTATTCACGAGAGACACAGAGAGCGAGGCAGAGCCACAGGTGGAAGGAGAAGCAGGCTCCCTGCGGGCCGATGCGGGACTCGATCCCTGGACCCCAGGGTCACATCCTGGACCTAAGGCAGCCGCTCAACCGCTGAGCCCCGAGCCGGCCCTATCTGCGGCTTCTGAGTTTCCTCCTGAACTTGAGACAGGCCAGGCCCTTGTCTGAGACCCACGTGGCGCGTGTCTGTATGCTGCTCCCCTCGGGCCATCTCCTCCTCTTCAGGCTGCAGAAATGACGCTTTGTCCGGGGAAAGGAAGGAGCACTCTGGGGGGGGGGGGGGCGGTGATGTGTGCCTCGCGAGTCAGGGGACTCTCACGGGGACACGTCTTACGAGGCCTTCCTGTTTCACTCATCCCTTTTGGCTCAGGAACACCTGGGGTGGGAGGAACATCTGGGGTGGGAGCAACACCCGGGTCGGCCCGAACTCTGCGTTGGCGGATGGAGAAGGGCCGAGTGGACGTCAGCGCACACGCAGCGCGTCCCCGGACAGAGAGGGCCGCAGCGCGTGTCGGGTGGGGAGCAAGACCGCGGGGTTGGTGGGAGCCAGGCAGGCTGGATCCTGTTTGGCTTTGGACTGGGGGCATTTCGTGAAGGGAGAAGTTGAAAGCGCACAGAGCAGAAGTGTGCCACCCGGTTCCGAGACTGGGCTCCGCTGCTGCTGTCCTGACCTTTGCCTTCGGTTCCCACACCCCCTGAAACCAGGGGCCCTTCTGCCTCCAAAGTGCTCCGGCCCCCTGCGGTGTCCTGGCCCAGTATTCGAGACACTAGGCTTCAGGAAACGCAGGAATGTGTGGCAGCAGAGGGAAAGACCCAGGTCTTCAGATACTTGGCCCACAACCTGGGGTTGCCTCGAGAAGGGAATTTGCAGAGGACTGCCTTGTCCCTGCTTGTGCAGTCGGACGTGCTGTGGAAAGGAGACCGTCCTCTTCGTCATGCTGAAATAAGCTTCAATTTGGTTTAGCTGAGCCGCCGTGTACAGTTGCACAGGTTGTCCACTGCTCAAGAGCAGTTGGCCGTATGGTCAAGCGAGGCTGTCCTCTAGCCCTCCCTCTTTGTACCTAGCTCTGTGCCCTGATCTAGGGCGACATTAGCCACAGGAGGAGTGCTTTAGCCAACTTTTTCATGACAGGGCTGCCATTCTCTAATGGGTATTGAGGTATCCTATCCTATCCAAGCACTTTAAGCTTTTGTTGGAAATGAGAAATAATAGTACAAATGGAAAAAAGTGCAGTTGGGACTGAGCATACGGGGCCAGGTGCGTGTCTGAGCACTAATGCTGAGTGCTCTGGAGGGTAGGTTAAGGGACTCAGGAGTGAGGAAGGGGTGGGGAGTGGAGAAAAAACTATGGAAGTGTGGGAACAGGTACACGAGGACCATGAGATGGACAGGAGCTGCTACCTGTGGCCGAGTCCCATGGCCCTTGTCACCCATGTCTGCGCCGACCAGGGAGGGGCCGTGGGCTTGGAGGCACCCTGGGAAGCTGCCATCAGCCTCCGAGACGTGGGCCCACAAAGCAGCCATGCCCTCGGGAGCTCTGCACCTCAATTTAGTTATTTATTTAGATTTTATTTATTTATTTCATTTCTTTACTCATGAGAGACACAGAGAGAGAGGCAGGGACACAGGCAGAGGGAGAAGCAGGCTCCCTGCGGGGAATCCGATGTGGGACTCATCCAAGGACTCCAGGATCGCAACCTGGGCTGAAGGCAGATGCTGAGCCACCCAGGCTCCCTGCTGCACCCCAATTTAAAGCCAGCACGGACTCCCATCAGATCTGGCCTTGCTGTCTAGGGATTCTCTGGTGCATTTCTTCATCGAAATCCTTTGCTTAAGAAATGGTTCTTTTCCAGGACTCCTTCCACTGGGGCCTTTCCTATATTTTATGTTGATTCTTGGGGGGACCAGCAACTGGTGCCAGGTACCCGGGGCTGCCCTAGGTCTTGAGCCTTCTCCAGGGCCCGCCCCCTGCCCATGTGGGCCACAGCCAGGGTGAGGGAGCAGTGACAGCTCTGCCGGTGGAGTGTTAACCCCGCGCCAGGTGCTGCTCTGAGACCAGCATGGCTTAGTCCTCGAAGCCAGCGGATGAGGACGATGCTGGGGGGTTTTATCCCCATTTGAGAGATGGGAAAAGCGAGGCTCAGAGAGGTTCGTCCGAACAGGTGCACGTTGGCCGACTGGAGTGCTTCATGATGGATCATTTCCATTTTGAAATAAAGACCAGTGTCAGCAGGGCGGCAAGAGGACGAGAGGAAGGGGGTGGCCGAGACATACGCCCTGGCGGCCTGGGCCCGGAGGGCCGGTCCTGGGGATCGGGCCGAGGATCTCCCTGCCCTTTCCACATGGGGCTGAGCTTCCCGTCTGCAGCGACCCTCTGGCCCCGCCGTCCATTTCATTGTCATCTCTCAAGGTCACTGGTTGTGCAGGAAAACCCACGGAGCCTCATTGGCCTTGAACAAGTGGCTCATCTTCACGAGTGTGCCAGGCACGGGTACCCACCGGGCCGTCGGCAAGTGTCGCCCTGCCGTGTGCCACGTTTCCGAGCGCCCGGATGACGGATCTGTAATGGGCTGACACTTGGTGGCCCGGGAGCCAGGGCATGTGTGTCTGGCCTTCCCAGAAAGGCTGCCCAGGAGTCCAGCCTGACGTTCAGGCCACTGCTGGCCGTCAGTTTTACTTACTACTTTTTAAAAGATTTGACTGAAAAATAAAATAAAATAAAAAAAATAAAAAGATTTGACTGCTTTATTAGAGAGAGAACGGGTGATAGAACGAGGGAGGGGGGCAGCGGCGGAGGGAGAAGCAGACTGCCCGCTGGGCAGGGAGCCCAACCCAAGGACCCCAGGATCAGGACCTGAGCCGAAGGCAGAGCTTCACCGAGAGCCCCCAGGTGCCCCTTTACTTATCTTCAGAAGCTATTTCTGAGCAAATGGTTCAAGGGAAACCGAGAGCCGGGGTGGCGCGGACATGAGATCCCTGAGCTCACTATCACGAAGGCTTCTGGGGGAGCCTATGAAGCCACAGGCTGTGTTGCCTGGTGTCATGGGAACCCTGGTGGGGGGATAATAATGACAATATTACATACAACAACGTGTGCGATGCCGCATGTGTGTGCGTGTGCATGAAAACGTCCCCCCTTCACTTGACGGGATGAGCACTGGGTGTTATTCTGTATGTTGGCAAATTGAACACCAATAAAAAATAAATTAAAACAAAAAACAAAAAACATCCCCCATCCCCACCCTGTCCCCAGTGTAGGGCGAGATGAAGCACACCCATCCCATCCCAAATGATTCTCTTGGCCGGGGGTCGGCCAGTATTCTCTGTGAAGTAAATATTTTAGGCTTCGCGGGCCAAGAGGCACAATGAAGACATTATGTAGGTACTTCCGTTGTACGAGAAAAACACATCGCACAATTATTTATTATTATTATTTTTAAAGATTTTATTTTTATTTATTTATGATAGACACAGAGAGGGAGAGAGGTAGAGACACAGGCAGAGGGAGAAGCAGGCTCCATGCCAGGAGCCCGACGCGGGACTCGATCGAAGGACTCCAGGATCGTGCCCCGGGCCAAAGGCAGGCGCGAAAGCGCTGAGCCACCCAGGGTTCCCCCACACACAATTATTTAATGGATAAAAATCAAAACGGAGTAACCACTCTGTTGGTGGACTTTTTTGGTGATCGAGGTCTAATAAGGACAAGAATGGAATTCTTTTGGGGGGATGATCGCGTCGTGTGATTGAAGTTTAAAGTCGGTGTTCTTTAGCAGCAGACCGGTTGCAAATGTTTATTTGTAAAAATTATTCTTCCCTCCCCCATCCCGCGCCCTGGGGCCAGCTTGGGCCCACATGCTGTGGTTTGCGGACCCCAATGCTCAGTTAAACCTTCTGAGGCCCTCGGTTCCACTTCACCTGTCAGACCAAATCAGGAAACTGAGTCTTCGTGCCTGGTGCGTGCTCATCCAGCCCCCCGCTGGCCCATTCACCAAACGTTTGTTGGGCTTAGGCCATGTGCCAGGTGCCGGCTGAGGTGCAGGGACACCCGGGGGACAGGCCCCACGGAGCCCCACACCTCCCTTGCTATGCGCTGTCTTGGAAATGAGCGGGACAAAGCCAAGGTGATGCAAGTGTTATTTAACCGTGAATCATACAACAACAAAAGGGGTTTGGGCAACCCTAAACTGACCTCAAAGTTGTGAAGTTTACAAAAACACACTAAAGCTTGCGAAGCGGAAGAAAAAAATTCCCTGTTTCTGTCCTTCATTTTCCCCTGATCCTAGACTCCAGAGCAAAGCGATGTTAACATCTTTTTTTGAGATGTTATTTATTTATTCATGAGAGACACAGAGAGAAAGAGAGACAGAGACACAGGCAGAGGGAGAAGCAGGGTCCCTGCGGGGAGCCCGATGCGGGACTCGATCCCGGGACCCCGGGATCACACCCTGAGCCGAAGGCAGATGCTCAACTGCTGAGCCACCCCGGCACCCCCCACCCCGATGTTAACATTTTGGTGAGGATCCTTGCAGCCATCTCCCCACCCCCGACATACACCCCAAAATACACAAACTCACACATACACACACCCAGCCCCATATGTGTTATATTTGTATCACTTACTCAAATTATTTTATAAATAACTTTCTCCCCTCCCCGTGAATTTCAGTTTTGAAATTTGAAAGCACAGTCAATAAATGATTTGGCAACAGTTAAGAAATCACAAGTTCCCTTCTTCTCACATAAAGTTCTGCAAACCACGTGCTAGGTTCCGCAGCCGAGTTCAGGAAGTTGGCCAGTTTCTTTTCCCTGAGTGCACCTACCGCCCAGAGGACAGCCCCCCTCGGTGCTGCAGGTGACGGGATGAGACTTTAGGACCACAGAAGCTCGGTAAGCCGCCCCTATTCTTTTAACAAAACTTTCCAACAAAATACCTGATTTCCGACTCCGAAATGTGGTTTGGGAGCAAATGGTGTGGACACAGAAAGGGACGGATGGGGCCACAAGCATAAAAAGGTTAAGTATTGAAGCAACTCCTAATGTGGGCCGAGTGGCCTCATGTGCAGTAGGTTTTGAAAATCAAACCTAGTAAGCGATCTTACTAATTCCAATAGGAGAACAAGCAAATTCCAGGTCAGGAGTTGACTATGACTCTCCGGTCGTGCAGGAAGCAATATTCTCTTCTAGAACCAAAGAGTTGAAAGCCAAGTGGGTGGGAGAAGTGTTTTTCCTTTGCTACCTCTATAAAAAAAATTAAATTAAACTAAATTAAAAAGGGCAAACTCTGATCTCCCATGCGCCAGTCGCTTGTGAGGGCCTCGGCGGAGCCTGAAATTGAGACTCGTAGGAGCTTAATGTTCAATATTAGTTGCCCCTTTTCTCGTTCAGGATTTTTAAGTAAACGTGGCACCATTTCTGCAGTTGTGTGCTTGAGTGTTGAGACCTAGCAGGGGGTCAGTTTTTTGTTATTGCCGACAACTGTCAGATGGAAACACAAACTTGACAATTTTAAGAAGTGATGTGTTTTCTAAAAAAACTCTGAGATTTGAGAGCAGTTGAAAAGTCTGATTTCAAGAGACTCTCATCCAAAATTTACCTTATAATGTTTCCATGCTCAGTCAGTGCTTATTAAAGTTCTTGGAGTTATTTACTTCTACAGCCATTTAGTGTATATTTAAGTTTTTGAAGTTCTTTTTCTTTCCTTTTTTATTTTTTTAAAGATCTTAGTTCCAGGTAGTTAAGGTTACGGTGTAATATTAAGCTCAGGTGTACAATGTGGTGATTCAGCGCTCCCATCCATCACCCGGTGCTCATCACAAGTGCCCTCCTCCATCCCCATCACCTGTTTCACTTCTCCCCTCACCCCCCCCAACCACCCGTGTGTTCTCTGTAGTTGAGTCTGTTTCTTGGTTTGTCTCTCTCTCTCTCTCTGTCTTTCCCCACCCCCTTTGCTCATCTGCTTTGTTTCTTACATTCCACAAATGAGTGAGATCATATGGTATTTGTCTTTCTCTGACTTATTTCACTTAGCATCATCCTCTCTACCCCCCCCACACACACATGGTTGCAAATGGCGAGATTCCACTCTTGTTGGTGGCTGAAAGGAGTTAATTTTGAAATCCATGTAATGCACATTTTAGATCTTGAAAGAAGACGAAGTCTGTACTGAATTTTTATGATGCTTTATGAACTGACTGTGGTGGCCCGCCAGGGCCAATGACACATGTGGAATTGGGATTGAAGTTATCCAGTTTCTTTTCTTTTTTTTTTTAAGATTTTATTTATTTATTCATGAGAGACACACACACACAGAGAGGCAGAGACTCAGGCAGAGGGAGAAGCAGGCTCCATGCGAGGAGTCCGATGTGGGACTCGATCCTGGGACCCCAGGATCATGCCCTGAGCCAAAGGCAGATGCTCAACCGCGGAGCCACCCAGGCATCCCGAAGTTATCCAGTTTCTACTTGGTATTTGTCAGCTGCTGTGGGAGCCCCAGCCAATATAACTGTATTATAAAAAAGTGAAAATGGAATGATAACAAAATCAAACTCAGCGTGGAAACGTGCCCTGCCTCCCTTCCACGGGTGACTTAGGTAGAGGTCAAGGACCTCACAGGCCCCTGGCAAGGTCCTTTGACCTCAGAGGCTTGACTACACATTGGAATCACCGGGGACCCCCCAGACTGAAGGAATCAGAATGTCGAGGGCTGGGCCTAGCCGTTCGTAGCTTCTCAGCTTCAGAGCTTTCTCAACGTGAGCCCAAGAGCCACTGCCTTAGGACAGCACCCGACCAGCTCCTTTGGTCCTTTGCTTAAAGAGCACAGTCCTTTTGTAGGGGGGTGAGAAGGTTCCAGAAGACCCGGAGCTCACTTATTAGCCCCTTGGTTTGATTTCAGAAGGTGAAATGAAGGCTCCAAGCATGCCTTAGCTGAAAAGCCAGGGCTGTGGTTCAGGGCGAGGCAGGGGGTGACGCTCGCTCGTTCTCCTCCAGGGGCTGCTTCTCATCCTGTCCTGTGCTGAGCCTCAGCACTGCTTGTGGCGGGGGTGGGGGGGTGGGGGAGACGGAAGGCAGGCCCCTGGGAAACCAGACTTGGGGGATGTGGGGTGTGTCTCGTGGGGGAACATGTTGTTACTCATGGTTAGTCTTTGAAAACCAGCTGGATGTGATTTATAAGGGCATCTTAGGGTGACGGCCAGAGCCTACTGGGGGGATCATCATTCCAATGGAATGTCTTGACTTCAGCTGGGTTATTAAACAGAGCTGCGGGATTTGCTGCTGTTTAAAGTCTTATCTCCAATTTATGACTCTTCAGGACTAAAATGCAGAGTAAATTGGACGCATAACCCGCGGCTTCTGGGTCGGCAGGAGCAAGTACAGGCCGTGCTGACTTTGCCGAGGGTAACAAAGAGCTCCTCGTGGGTGCCTATGTCTCCAGTCAGTGGGCTTCCGGTGGTTCTACGGAATTCCAGAAAATCTGGAAGTGCCCCAGGGGTAGACTGACCAGTGCAGAAAGGCAAGGTGGAAAATCCACCCCCGGCATTTGAATCCTGAAGGTCCAGGTGCGGCCGGGAGGTCTCTGCGGATAATCCAAACCAGAGCATTGCCAACCAGCTGCTTGCCTCCAGGCCCACCCATCTGCTAACCACTCGGGGTGTCCGGGCTCAGCTGCAGCCCTGCCACATCCCATTTGAGTGACCTTGGGGAGATCAGCTTCTCTGAGCCTCAGGTTCCCCGTCTGTAAAATGAGGGCTTAGAGTAGCACCCACCGCCCTGAGTTTTAGGAGGAGTAAATACAAAAATGTGTGATTTGGCGCAGCTCCCAGTGTTTGCTTCCTGGTAAAGCACTCACCACGTGCTCCCTCCTATACTTCCAGGAATTCAAATAGCATGATTTTTCATATTTCAACATATAGGAAATCAGGACCCATCTCTTTGTGGACGTGTGCATTTGTTTTGTGTTTTTTTGTGTTTTTTTATTTTTATAAATTTATTTTCTATTGGTGTTCAATTTGCCAACATATAGAATTAACACCCAGTGCTCATCCCATCAAGTGCCCCCCTCAGTGCCCATCACCCAGTCACCCCTACCCACCACCCACCTCCCCTTCCACCACCCCTTGTTCATTTCCCAGAGTTAGGAGTCTCTCCTGTTCTGTCTTCCTTTCTGATATTTCCCACTCATTTTCTCTCCTTTCCCCTTTATTCCCTTTCACTATTTTTTAGTTTTTTTTTTTTTTTTTGGACGTGTGCATTTGATGCGGTAGTGGTATCTTCTTGCCTCCAAAGCTGTGAGTGGATCCGTCAGCTTTGGGATGGATAAAATAAAAAATCCATTGATTAATTATAAGTTTTATCCGAGGTGACAAATCCTGTCAACCGTTTCTTTATTCATTGACTGTCAGGATGCCTCAGTGGTCCACAGAGCCAACTGCAAACGAATCAAAACCTGTTAGAAGTTAGAAAAATGTCCAGTTTGGCAAAAATAAAAAAATCAGGTCTGGTCGAATGCCACGGCACACCCGCCCAAACAGGGAAATAAGTCACCTGGGGGGATTAATCACGTTTTATAATCAATGGGTTCTCTTGACACTGCAGCGCTAGGGGTTACCAGCGGGACCCATCCTGAGAAAGGAGTAAGCTCGGGAGATGGTGGGAGGCAGAGGGCCAGGAGAGGGGGCATCATTGCCGAAAGGCCGTTTGCAGCCTAGGAAAGGGATGTGGAAAGATAAAAAGCTGTTTTATTTCAGGAAGGCAGGCTCGGCCCCCACCCGGAACCCCCGCAGGCGATTTTTGCCCTAGATTGTGAAATTGTGCAGGAAAACCAGTAGGATTTATTTTAGCACCGCCCAGTGGGGAGCGCTCCCTTTGCACCCAGCACATTCAGCTTCTGTCGTACGCACGACCCTCGGCCCACGGGACAGCTTCTGGGGGTGTCCCCAGCCAAGGCGGACTTTTCCGAGCCTTGAAAGGGCGCTGGGCCTTGAAAATTGTGGTTTTGGCGTCCCCTGGCATCCAAGCACGGAAGGCAGATTTGAGGGAGGACCAAGGCAGGTTGTTTTTTGTTGTGTCGTGTGCGTCTTTCGGAACTCGAGGGACAGGTCTGGCCTGTGGTGTGCCACGGCCCCAGCCAAAGACCTGAGGACGCAGGGAAAATAGGAAAACGGTTGTGAAATCGCTTCCTCTACAGCTAGCAACAGCTGTCTCTGGCAGGGAGGGGAAGTTAAACAGATTTCTGTGTGCCTGCGTGCATGTGTGAGTGAGTGTGTGTGTGTGTGTGTGTGTCATAGGCTCTCTTTAAAGAAACAAGCGGGTCCTGACTTTTTCTGGGGGTTCCCAGTGAGAATCCAGAGCACGCTGCCTCGGGCGTCCTCGGGGGTGTGCAGGGCACTGAGCCACGGGCCCGTGTGCACCAAGGGCCTCCTCGGGCCACTGCACTGTGTCTGGGCGGTGGGGTCACCGGCCCCCCATTCTCACCCTCTTAGTTTCCTGGGGCCGCTGTGACAGGCATCACAAACTTGGTGGCCCAGAACCACAGCACCGGGTGCTCTGGCCATCCTGGAGGCCAGAAGTCTAAGATCCAGGAGCTATCAGCACGCTTGGTTCCTTCCTGGTAGCTCAGGGGGAAGGGTCCCAGGCCCTGCTCCTGGCTCCCCGCGGTGGCCGGCAGTCCTCGGTGCTCCTTGCCAACGTCCCCTCCTTCTTAGGACCCCAGTCACCGGACTAGGCTGCACCCTAACGCAGCAGGACCTCACTTTGACTCCATCCCATTCCTTTTGGTTTTTTTTAAAGATTTTATTATTTTTTAGAGAGACAGAGAACACAAGCAGGGGGTGGAGCAGAGGGAGAAGGAGAAGCAGGCTCCGTACAGAGCAGGGGGCCCGATGCGGGAC